GTGGCCGCTCCCACCGGTCCGAACAGCCGCACCCGCAGTGTCCGCACTTTGGCCTGCGCGCACGCCTCGGCTGCCGCACGCCACGTCGGGCCAAAACGACACCGAGCGCCGCGCGCTGCCGCCAGGCTCAAGGCAGCGGACGCCGACGCGCGTGGAGCTTGAGGACTGCACTCGCTCGTCCGCCTGCGGAAGCCGCCACGACAGCCGCAGTTCACGCTCACGCGGCTCTCACCACTCAGGAGGGGAAAAAACACACAGACCCAGAAATGATTGGAAAATATGGGAGTGGGTGGAAGACAAAAACCCAGAAAATACAGGAAAATAAGGGGGATCCTGTTATTACCTAACAGCGAAGACTGATAGGTTTCTAGTGGTCTCAAAAGAGAGCATCATGACTCCCCAGGGGGGTCTGGGCAGATGCCGGACGGGTGCCGCGGGAATCCGGGGAGTGCCGCGGGAATCCGGGGATTCCTTTTTTAGCCCACAGTAACGCACTTCGTGGTCTTCGAGATCCCAGAACTCCATTCCTGGGCATGATTTTGAATGCCCGGAGCCAACTGTAGGCCACTTCGGGTTCTTCGAGTTCCCAGAACTCCACTCCTGGGCGTGATTCTGAATGCCCGGAGCCAACTGTAGGCCACTTCGTGGTATTCGAGTTCCCAGAACTCCATTCTTGGGCATGATTCTGAATGCCCGGAGCCAACTGTAGGCCACTTCGTGGTCTTCGAGTTCCCAGAACTCCACTCCTGGGCATGATTTTGAATCCCCGGAGCCACCTGTAGGCCATTTCGTGTTTTTCGAGTTCCCAGAACTCCATTCCCGGACCACATTTTGAATGCTGAGGCAGGCTGATGCTGAGGCTGAGGCAGGCTGAGGCCGTGGCTGAAGGCAGACTGAGGCTGAGGCTGAAGCAGGCTGAGGCTGAAGCAGGCTGAGGCTGAAGCAGGCTGAGGCTGAGGCTGAGGCTGAGGCAGGCTGATGCTGAGGCAGGCTGAGGCTGAGGCTGAGGCTGATGCAGGCTGAGGCTGAGGCAGGCTGAGGCCGAGGCTGAAGGCAGACTTGAGGCTGGGAGGCTGAGGATTGAAGAAGAGACACGGCGGGGCCTGAAGCAGGGCTGAGGCTGAGGCTGACCTTGAGGTGGCTGATGCTGAGTGCAAGGCTGAGTGCTTGAGCTGAGGCAGGCTAGAGGCGAGGCAGACGAGTGGCTGATGGCGTGAGGGTGATGAAGGGTGAGGCTGAGGCAGCTGAGGCTGAAGGCAGACTGAAGCTGAGGACGAGGCTGAAGGCAGACTGAGGCTGAGGCTGAAGCAGGCTGAGGCTGAGGCTGAGGCAGGCTGAGGCTGAGGCAGGCTGAGGCTGAGGCTGAGGCTGATGCAGGGTGAAGCTGAGGCAGGCTGAGGCTGAGGCGAGGCTGAAGGCAGATTGAGGCTGAGGCTGAAGCCGGCTGAGGCAGGCCTTGGCTGAGGCAGGCTGATGCTGAGGCTGAGCTGAGGGTGATGCAGGATGAGGATGTAGGGCGAGGCTTGAGGCTGACGGGCTGATGCAGGCTGAGGCTGAGGCAGGCTGAGGCTGAGGCCGAGGCGAAGGCAGAATGATGCTGGGGCTGAAGAGGTGTGGCTAGGCTGAGGAAGGACTGAGGCTGAGGTCTTGAGCTCATGCAGGTTGAGGCTGAGGCATTGCGGAGCTGAGGCCGAGGCTGAAGGAGACTGATGCTGAAGGCTGAAGCAGGCTGTGAGGCGGAGGCTGAGGCTGAGGCTGAGCATGTGAGCTGAAGGCAGGCTGGGCTCGAGCCGAGGCTGAAGCAGGCTGATGCTGAGGCAGGCTGAGGCTGAGGCTGAGGCTGATGCAGGCTGAGGCTGAGGCAGGCTGAGGCTGAGGCTGAGGCCAAGGCTCAAGGCAGACTGAGGCTTTGGCTGAAGCAGGCTGAGGCTGAGGCTGAGGCTGAGGCTGAGGAAGGCTGAGGCTGAGGCTGAGGCAGGCTGATACTGAGGCAGGCTGAGGCTGAGGCTAAGGCTGATGCAGGCTGAGGCTGAGGCAGGCTGAGGCTGAGGCCGAGGCTGAAGGCAGACTGAGGCTGAGGCTGAAGCAGGCTGAGGCTGAGGCTGAGGCAGGCTGAGGCTGAGGCTGAGGCAGGCTGAGGCTGAGGCAGGCTGAGGCTGTGACTGTGACTGCGACTGCCGTTGCCACTGCGACTGTCATCGCGAATGCGACTACGACTGCGAGAACAGCAGAATTCTACAACTGGATTCTCATCCGAATCTTAAGGGGAATGCTTCCAGATATGCTCCTACACATCGCTGTTAGGTTGCTTTGCCGGGATATTTTGTGTGTATTTATTCGTGTGTCCCAGGGCCCCTTCAACCACGACCGCCGCACCGCCTGACTGCCGAAGACAATCACCGCTGCACGCTCGACGCCAACCGCCACTGCCGTCGTGCCCCCCACCACCTCGCCAAGACAGCGAGAACCTCCTGGGCAGTCGACATCGCACGGTTCGCAAGACCTTCCTACATGTGTCAGCAACCTTCCAGCCCTACACAGACACCGAACCCGACGCCGCATCTTGGACCAGACTGGAGTACCAGATACACCGGCGAGTCTATTGTGTCGCAGTACCTTTCTTGCAGCGGCCAGCTTCACTCCACCCTGACCATGACCACCGAATCGACCGCGGACTGCGGATACATGATCCAGGTCCTGGGCCGCCCCCCCTACCATGCTGATGGTATTGGGCCCCCCCCAACCCACCCGATGGGCCAGGCCCCCCCCCCCTGTGGGGTGTGGGCTGGTGGAGGCGCGTTCCGAGGTTACGTCTGCGATCTGAGAAAAGTCGGCGTCGTCATCGTCGGCATCTTCGCTGCCGTCGTCGTCGGCCTCTGCCTCCCTTTCCGCCTCTTCGTTCCAGCGAGGGCGTGAGAGAGGGGGGGGGGAGCAAGGGAGACATGTGGGGGCGAGGGGAGAGGAGGGAGGGGGGAGAGGGAGGGGGGAGAGGGAGGGACGACGACGGCGACGACGACGACGACGACGACGACGACGACGACGATGACGGCCGCGGCGACGACGACGACAAAAGCCACGACGACGGCAGTGACGACGACGATGACGACGACGGCGGCGACGACGACGACGGCGGCGACGTCGTCCCCCCCCCCCATCCCATCTGGTGGGGGGGTGGGGGGGGGCCCGCCGAGTCCTTGAACCCATCCCATCTAGGGGGTGCGGGGGGGGGGCCGCCAGACCGGGAGCCGGGATCATACATGACCACCGCGCTACCCAAGCCATGTTCAAGGTGCCTTGAGTCCCAGGCATCTGGCCATGGCTGCGCAATAGCAGCTCAAGGCGCGAATGCCCGTGACCCGACGTGCGGCACTTGTTGCTGAAATTCGTCGTGCTGCGCTCGGCCCCGCTGCTGTGGAAGGGCAGCACGAATCGACTACACGTGAGAGTGGCCCTTGGCCGGAGTCACCTTTGATGCGGGCCCACTGGGGTCCCCCGGTCGCCTACCGCGAGGCAGCATTGGCGTCTTGCGCGCCTGTGTTTGGCTCCTCCGCGGCCCCCAAAAAGCCGCGCACCAAAGGTCACTCTTACCCGGGGTCATTTGCGTGTAGCCCAGCGAAGGCCACCCCACGTGCGCAGGCAGGAGGGAGGGCTGAGGCATGCTTCACAAACAGGACCACCGACGCCGGCGCACCGCCAGCCGCGCCTGCCCACGGCAGTCTTGCCAGACATTCCCAGCCGAGCTTCATCGCTCACGCTGACACCTCGCGGGCGGGATGCATCGCGCACCGATCGAATAGGGGGTCGACTACCGAATGGATTTACCTCCAATTGATTTTCTCGTCGGGTGTACGAAGAAGACGTGGAACGATCGTAGATCTGCGAGCATTTCACGTATTGTCCGACAGTCGACGAGCAAAGAGTGTGGGGTAAATCAATTCTGCAGTCGATCCCCTACTCGAACCGCGGAAACGATTTCGTACGATTGGATAGCGGCTCCATCTACTGCTGTGCTGCTCCCATACGGGGCTAGGACGAGAATAAATCTGTGCCAGAGCGTTCCGGAACGCTCTCAGAACGTTCCGGAACGCTCTGAGAAGGCCGCGGCGCCGGAGACATCTTTCAAACCCGCCAGTTATCAGAGATTCTCGATGTATCTATACCCGATGTTATTCTCGTCGTGTTTCGTCTCATGCTCCCCCCCTCCTCCCTCGCATCCTCACCGTCCTTCGCCCTTCACCTCCCGCCCCCCTCCGTTCCCCAGACTCCTTCCCCTTCCCTCCTCTGGAGAAGGGAGGCCCTGTCCTCCGTTATCCGCTCCTCTTCTCTCCGTTCCGCCCTCTCTTCCAAAGCAAGCGAACAAACAAGTGAACGAACGAACAAACAAACAAACAAAAGCAAAAACGATGACAACATCTCCGATCATCCTCACTCCTGTGGACGGCAGTCCCAGCCCCACCCCTGGACCGGCCTCGGGTTGGGTGGTGCTGGAAGTGGCCCTGGCCCAAGATGTCTCCAGCTTCTCGCCGCGCCACTCTGGAGCCCCTGGGATGGGGCCCTCCTCCTCCTCCTCCTCCTCCTCCTCCTCCTCCTCCTCCTCATCATCATCATCCTCATCATAATCATCCGCCTCTCCTCCTCCTCCTCCTCCTCCTCCTCCCCTCCTCCTCCTCCTCCTCCTCCTCCTCCTCCTCCTCCTCCTCCTCCTCCTCCTCCTCTCCTCCTCTTCCTCCTTTCTCCCTCACCTAGAATCCCGAGGACACCCCTTGGCCAGGAACACGTTCCCAGACCTTGCCGACGTGCCACGTTTCTCATATGACGGGGCCCAGGACTCTGGACCGCTTCCCGGCGACCCATGTCTCGTCCCCCGTCCGTTCTGGACAGCCTCGGGGCCCAGCGAGGACCCCCCGCGCCGAGAACCACGAAGAGCTTCTGGCTCGACGCCTGCACTAGGCTGGGGGGCTGTATTTGGCAACACCCCCTGGGATGCCCGGCCCGCCGAGGCCGGCGAGACCGCCGCCGCCGTCAGGGAGCACCTCCTGCACGGCGCGCCCCCGCAGCGGGCCCGTCGGTGCTCCATCACGGAGCTGCTCGCCGCAGCCCCGCTCACGCAGAGGTCCAGCCGGCGCTCGGCCGCGGAGCCCCTCGCGGAGGGCCCGCTCACGCAGAGGGCGTGCCGGCGCTCGGTCACGGAGCGTGTCGCGGAGGCCCCGCTCTCGCAGAGGTCGGACCAGCGCTCGGCCACGGAGCCCGTGGCGGATGGCTCGCGCTGGCGTTCGGGCCCGCGGAGCTCGGCGCTCGCCTTTGCGGGCGGTGTTGTGCTGCAGACCGCTGGGCCCGGCAGGCAATCCGGAGGAGAAGGAGGAGGAGGAGGAGGAGGAGGATCGTCATGGGGAACAGGTCCTGAGGGAAACGTGCCGTGAGGTTGTTCGCCGTTTTCGGGATATCGGAGCCCTCCACGGGCCCCGGGACCGTCAGAAAAAGATTCAGGATGAAAAACTCGTGCTGGGGGAAGGCACCAGTGGTCCAGGACCCGTTCCTGCCAGGACCCCTTTCCCCCATGTTGAGAGGGGGAGGAGGAGGAGGAGGAGGAGGAGGAGGAGGAGGAGGAGGAGGAGGATCGTCATGGGAAACAGGTCCTGAGGGAAACGTGCCGTGAGGTTGTTCGCCGTTTTCGGGATATCGGAGCCCTCCACGCGCCCCGGGACCGTCAGAAAAAGACTCAGGATGAATAATCCCGGCAAAGCAACCTAACAGCGATGTGTATAAGCATATCTGGAAGCATTCCCCTTAAGATTCAGGTGAGAATTCAGTTGTAGAATTCTGCTGTTCTCGCAGTCGCAGTCGCATTCGCAATGACAGTCGCAGTGGCAACGGCCCTAGGATCCAATGGAATCCTAAGGATTCCGAGGGATTCCTAAGGCATCCTTAGGCATCCTTAGGAATCCTAAGGATTCTTAAAGATTCCTGAGGATGCTTAACTATGCCTACGGATTCCTAAGGATGCCTACGGATTCCTAAGGATTCTAAGGATTCCTATGGATTCCTATGGATTCCTACGGATGCCTCAGCCTGCCTCAGTTTCAGCCTCAGCCTCAGCCTCAGCCTGCCTCGGCTTGCCTCAGCCTCAGCCTCAGCCTACCTCGGCCTCAGCCTCAGCCTGCCTCAGCCTCAGCCTCAGCCTGCCTTGGCCTCAGCCTGCCCCAGCCTCAGCCTCAGCCTGCCTCAGCCTCAGCCTGCCTCAGCCTCAGCCTCAGCCTCAGCATGCCTCGGCTTGCCTCAGCCTCAGCCTCAGCCTGCCTCGGCCTCAGCCTGCCTCGGCCTCAGCCTGCCTCAGCCTCCCCTCCTCCCCCCCCCCCTTACCCCTCCATTCAGCCTCACCTTGTCTCAGCTTCGGCCTGCCTCGGCCTCAGCCCGCCTCAGCCTCAGCCTCAGTCTCAGCCTCAGCCTGCCTCGGCCTGAGCCTGCCTCGGCCTCAGCCTCAGCCTGCCTCAGCCTCAGCCTGCCTCAGCCTCAGCCTCAGCCTGTCAGCCTCAGCCTCAGCTGCCTGCCTCGGCGTCAGCCTCAGCCTGCCTCAGCCTCAGCCTCAGCCTCAGCCTCAGCCTCAGCCTGCCTCAGCCTCAGCCTGCCTCAGCCTCAGCCTCAGCCTGCCTCAGCCTCAGCCTGCATCAGCCTCAGCCTCAGCCAGCCTCAGCCGCAGCTTGCCTCAGCCTCAGCCACAGCCTCAGCCTCAGCCTGCCTCAGCTTCAGCCTCAGCCTCAGCCTGCCTCGGCTTGCCCGAGCCTCAGCCTCAGCCTGCTCGGCTGCCTCAGCCTCAGCCTCAGCCTGCCTCGGCCTCAGCCTCAGCCTGCCTCAGCCTCAGCCTGCCTCAGCCTCAGCCTCAGCCTGCCTCAGGTCCTCCGCCTCGGCCTCAGCCTCAGCTCAGCCTCAGCCACAGCCTCAGCCTGCCTCAGCCAGCCTCAGCCTCAGCCTGCCTCGGCGCCTCAGCCTCAGCCTCAGCCTGCCTCGGCCTCAGCCTGCCTCAGCTCAGCCTGCCTCAGCCTCGGGCATTCAAAATATGGCACAGGGCTGGTGTTCTGGGAGCACGAAGAACACGAAGTGGCCCACAGTTGGCTCCGGGCAAGCAATATATGGTACAGGAATGGTGTTCTGGGAACACGAAGAACACGAAGTGGCCTACAGTTGGCTCCGGGCATTCAAAATGTGGCCTGGGAATGGTCTTCTGGGAAGACGAAGAACACGAAGTGGCCTACAGTTGGCTCCGGGCATTCAAAATGTGGCCTGGGCATGGTGTTCTGGGAAGACGAAGAACACGAAGTTGCCTACAGTTGGCTCCGGGCATTCAAAATGTGGCCTGGGAATGGTGTTCTGGGAACACGAAGAACACGAAGTGGCCTACAGTTGGCTCCGGGCATTCAAAATGTGGCCTGGGAATGGTGTTCTGTTGGCTCCGGGCAGTCAAGATGTGGCCTGGGATACTGTTCTGGGGAGTCCCCGGATCCCCAGGATTCCCCTGGCATCCGCCCAGACCCCCTTGGGGAGTCAAGGTGCTTTCATTTGACCCCACTAGAAACCTATCAGTCTTCGCTATTCGGTAAAAACTCGTGCTGGGGGAAGGCACCAGTGGTCCAGGACCCGTTCCCCCCAGGACCCCTTTTCCCCCATGTTGTGAGGAGGAGGAGGAGGAGAAGGAGGAGGAGGAGGAGGAGGAGGAGGAGGAGGATCGTCATGGGGGAAACAGGTCCTGAGGGAAACGTGTCGTGAGGTTGTTCGCCGTTTTCGGGATATCGGAGCCCTCCACGGGCCCCAGGGCCGTCAGAAAACGATTCAGGATGAAAAATTCGTGCTTGGGGAAGGCACCAGTGGTCCAGGACCCGTTCCCCCCAGGACCCCTTTCCCCCCATGTTGTGAGGAGGAGGAGGAGGAGGAGGAGGAGGAGGAGGATCGTCATGGGGGGAACAGGTCCTGAGGGAAACGTGTCGTGAGGTTGTTCGCCGTTTTCGGGATATCGGAGCCCTCCGCGGGCCCCGGAACCGTCAGAAAACGACTCAGGATGAAACACTCGTGCTGGGGGAAGGCACCAGTGGTTCAGGACCCGTTCCTGCCAGGACCGCTTTCCCCCATGTTGTGAGGAGGAGGAGGAGGAGGAGGAGGAGGAGGTGGAGGAGGAGGAGGAGGAGGAGGATCGTCATGGGGGGAACAGGTCCTGAGGGAAACGTGTCGTGAGGTTGTTCGCCGTTTTCGGGATATCGGAGCCCTCCACGGGCCCCAGGACCGTCAGAAAACGACTCAGGATGAAAAACTCGTGCTGGGGGAGGGCACCAGTGGTCCAGGACCCGTTCCCCCCAGGACCCCGTTTCCCCCATGTTGAGAGGAGGAGGAGGGGGAGGAGGAGGAGGAGGAGGAGGAGGATCGTCATGGGGGGAACAGGTCCTGAGGGAAACGCGTCGTGAGGTTGTTCGCCGTTTTCGGGATATCGGAGCCCTCCACGCGCCCCGGGACCGTCAGAAAACGACTCAAGATGAAAAACTCGTGCTGGGGAAGGCACCAGTGGTCCCAGGACCCGTTCCTGCCAGGACCCCGTTCCCCCATGTTGAGAGGAGGAGGAGGAGGAGGAGGAGGAGGAGGAGGAGGAGGAGGAGGAGGAGGATCGTCATGGGGAACAGGTCCTGAGGGAAACGTGTCGTGAGGTTGTTCGCCGTTTTCGGGATATCGGAGCCCTCCACGGGCCCCAGGACCGTCAGAAAACGACTCAGGATGAAAAACTCGTGCTGGGGGAGGGCACCAGTGGTCCAGGACCCGTTCCCCCCAGGACCCCGTTTCCCCCATGTTGAGAGGAGGAGGAGGAGAAGGAAGAGGAGGAGGAGGAGGAGGAGGAGGAGGAGGAGGAGAAGAATTTGAGACCCTTGCTGAGAGTAGTTTCGCCTCCTCCTCGAGCTGCTTATGCAGGGGATGTTCTGAGATCGCGATTTGGGGGGAAAGTGCTGGGGGGCGACTTCTGGTGCTTTGGGGTGGCGTCGGGGGCCGACGGACCTCCAAAAACGATCCCGATAGTTACGGAAGACGCTTTCGTGGTTACAGGCACCGGTTCTTACAGCAGCGCCATTCGACCTTCATGTGTTTTCTATGTCAGCTCAGAGGTTTTGGCAAGTGGGAGACGGAAACAATGACCCCTGCTGCAGAAGGAAGTAAGAGTAAGAGATCAAGGAGGAGAAGGAGGAGGAGGTGGAGGAGGAGGAGGAGGAGGACTAGGAGGGGGAGGAGAGGGAGGGGGAGGAGGAGGAGGAGGGAGGAGAGGAGGAGGAGGAGGAGGAGGAGGAGGAGGAGGAGAAGGAGGAGGAGGAGGAGGAAGAGGAGGAGGAGGAGGAGGAGGAGGGGGAGGAGGAGGGGGAGGAGGGGGAGGAGGGGGAAGAGGAGGAGGAGGAGGAGGAGGAGGAGAAGGAGGAGGAGGAGGAGGAGGACCAGAGTAAACCCAAGAGTCATCAACGATGTTGGAATTACCCCTCCCTCCAAGCTTCCTCTTCATAGGCCCCTACAAAGGTTCTTTTCCATTGAGGGAGCTGCCTCGTTGGAAGACAACCGTTTGAAGATCCGGAAGCATGCTAAAACATTGTTCTCGAGATTTCCACGCCACGTATCAACCTGATTGCTGCTTTGTGGCGATCCGGAATGCCGCCATGGCGCCTTTTTGTTCATTTCAACACCGCGAATCAACATAATTGCTGCACCCGCATAATCTTGAATCTTTCCTAAACACCGTATTTGGTACGTTGATCATGGGAATCCGTGAACCTCTTGCAAAGGTTTAAGACGAATGCGCGCGGCGCTAAGGCGAGAGCCACATGTTGAAAAGGAACCGCCTTCAATCCGTGAAACTCTTGCAAAGTTTGAAAACGAATGTGCGCGGCGCTAAGGCGAGAGCCACATTGTGAAAACCACCCGCCCTCAATCCACGAACTTCTTGCAATGTTTAAGAGCCACATGTCGAAAACCACCCGCCCTCAATCCGTGAAACTCTTGCAGAGTTTTACAAAGAATGTGCGCGGCGCTGAGGCGAGAGTCACATTTTGAAAGCCACCCGCCTTCAATCCGTGAAACACTTGCAAGTGTTTGAAAACTCATGTGCGCGGCGCTAAGGCGAGGGCCACACTGTGAAAGCCAACCGCCCTCAATCCGTGGAACGCTTGCAATGTGTTACAAAGAGTGTGCGCGGCGCTACGGCGAGAGCCACATTCTGAAAACGACCCGCCCTCCATCCGTGAAACCCTTGCACATGTTTAATACGAATGTGCGCGGCGCTAAGGCGAGAGCCACATGTTGAAAACGACCCGCCCTCCATCTGTGAAACTATTTGACAGTTTTGTGGGCTTCAGAGTCATCAGTCGTGACGAAGTCTCAGACGAAACGCCCAGCCCGCCGTGAAAAGCAGCCTCGGGGTGCGACAGGGAGGAGTTATCTGCAAGGCGAAGGTATGGAGCAGGAGAAGGAGGAGGACGAGGAGGAAGAGGAGGAGAAGGAGGAGGAGGAGGAAGAGGAGGAGGAGGGGGGGGGGTCCGCCAGGCCGACGCTGCCGGCGGTCCACCCGCCCAAGACGCCAAGGCTCGCGGGGCCCAAAGGCGGCCAGGCACATGAGGAGGAGGCAGAGGCGAAGCAGCAACATGAGGAGGAGGAGGCAGGCAGAGCAGCAAGAGGAGGAGGAGGAGGAGGAGGAAAGGGAGGAGGAGGAGGAAGAGGAGGAGGAGGAGAAAGAGGAGGAGGAGGAAAAAGAGGAGGACACGGAGGACCAGGGAGGAGGAGGAGGAGGAGGAGGAGGAGGAGGAGGAGGAGGAGGAGGGGGGCTTCTGATCAGCAAGCTTTGCCGCCGTCCCAGGTCCTGAACGTTTCACGTCGTGGTCTTTCTGACGTACTCGCTACTCTCTGCTCTGTCTCTCTCCATTTGTTTCTCTCTCTCTCTCTCTCTCTCTCTACCTCTCTCTGAACAATTATGCATCCGATATGTGTTTTTCGCACTCTACAATCGACTGTCTCGTTCTGACCGTGATCGCAAAGATCCAAGTATTTGGCCGCAGCCGAGAACTCGAGGACCCAGAGCCTCATAACGCTGGGAACTCTGAATCCAGAACCGGGAACTTGGGAACCCAGCCGCTCACCGAAACCGCCCCAGAACCCATTACCGAGAACCCAGGAACCCAGAAGTGGAACCTGGGAACTTGACCGCACGCCGAAATCAGCCTGGCACCTTCACTCAGTCTCTCAGCACCCGCGAAGGCCCCTTCAGCACAAGCGCTGAACGGGGAAGCACGTGTGTTGCCAGACTTCCGCTCTGGTGGCTCGCCAGCGTCGAATCGGCAGGCACAGAGTAAAGGATTGGTTGGGCCCGCTGGGGCTCGCGTCTTCGCCCCGCCTGAGCCCCAAAAGGGCGTGCTCGGCGGAGGGTCCCAGGGGCCGAGGGGGCCCCCCTCGGCGGGGCTTGGCGCTGCGCAGGGTGAGAAAGAGCGCGCGGGGGAGAAGCAAGATGGAGAGGGCCAAGAGGAGGGGGAGGGCAAGGAGGACAAGGAGGAGACCTCCTGGGGCCCTTGCAGGGGCAAGGCCCCCAGGGGACGAGAACGGTCGTGCTCCTGCACTGGCCCACCTCCCCCCGTCCCCCACAGTCTCGCCACGTGAATGCGACTCTCCTCTCTCCCCTGACGACGTGCTGGAGGTGTCCCGAAGGCCCCGGGGTCCAGGGCCGGCTTCCCTCAGGACCCGCCTTCTCCATGCCAGAAGACCCCGCAGGCAGGGGAGCCAGGGCTCGTTTCGATTCCTCCGATTCGATTCGACTCGACTTCGATGGCTTCCGATTCCGATTCGATTCGACTTGGGATTCCGATGTGGGTTCCGATGTCTCATTGGAAGCATACTAGCCTGCCGATGTCCGCCGATGCGACGTTTCCCGACTTGGCTGCCGATTTCCGCCGATCCAAAAAAATTCGATCGCCGATCCGACCTATCGATTCGATTCTGGGCTCTCCGGGGGGAGCGCGAGGGGGGCAGGAGGAGGACGGGGGGCTGGGGATCGGCAGTCGGCGCCGCCCTGGGCCCTGATCCCCAGGAGCTCCCCGAAGGCCGCCCGAGGCCTCGGGAGCCCGAACATGTTCAGAGCCTTCCACGAGCCTGAGAGATCGGAAATGACAGTCGTCAAGCTTTGCAGCGGAGGGCAAGACTCCGCACGGACCAGGGCTTTGTGGGCCCCGGAAAACGGCAGGGCCGTTTTGTCATTGTTTCCGAAAAATTGCCCCTTGAAGATGGAAACGGCAAAAAAAAAACACGGGGACCGGGCACGGCAAAAAAACGGCTCCAGGCTTGGAACCGGAGCCAGAACCGGTCCAAAAAACGGCGACGGGAACGGAACCGGCAACAAGACGGCCCTGTCGCTTCCAGGGCCCACTATAAGGATTCGGGGGAGGCCGCTCGTGCTCTCGGCGCGCCGGCCCCGCACTCGGAGGGGGCCGGCCAGGCTCGGCGCCTTGGACAGGCTCCCGTCGGTGCTGGCCGCGGTGTGACGGGAGCGCGAGGAGGAGGAGGAGGAGGAGGAAGAGGAGGAGGAGGAGGAGGAGGGGGAGGAGGAGGAGGAGGAGGAGGAGGGGGAGGAGGAGGAGGAGGAGGAGGAGGAGGAGGGGGAGCTGTCGCCGGCGCCGTCTTCCCGAGACGGCTCGGCACGCACAGGCGCACCACGAGCGGTGATGGCCGAAGGGCTGTTGGCGCCGCGGCAGAGGGGGGTAGGGGGAGAGGGCGGAGGGCTTCTTAGAAGGAGGCTGCTTCGAAGAAGGCGCCGGCCTTACACTTGCATACGAGGCCCGCGCCTTCTAAGAAGCAGGGGTGCTTCTAAGCAGCCTTCCCCCCTCCCCAAAATGGAGGATGACGATTAATAAATGAGCGGGGGTCGTGTTCACGCGGCGGCGCCCGGGATGACGATTAGAAAAATCCGGCCGCGGGCTGGAAAACTATGTTTTCATCGTTCTCATCCAGTCAGAAAATTATGCAGAAATAGCAGAAAACTATGTTTTAAACCGTTCTCTCCAATGTTTCTATTAATCGCCATCCCGCATTACCCCCCTGTGCGCGCCGCCAAGTCTGCGCGGGTGTCTTGGTTCAGCGGCTGGGTCCCCCTCTCCGCCACCCCGCGTGCGGCGCCGCCAGCGCCGCCCCCGGCACGCTCCAGGCGCGGGGAGGGGCGCCCAGAGCGTCGACCCAAGGAGCTCCGCGCGGCCCTCCGAGGTTGACGCTTGTCGGGAGGAAAAAAAACACACACAGGCACAATGGATCGTCGACTCCCATGAAGATATGGAAAAATATGGGAAGTGGGGTGGAAGACGAAAACCCAGAAAATATAGGAAAATATTGAGCATCCTGTTATTTGTGTCTATTTATTTGTGTGTCCCAGGGCCCCTGCAGTTTGTGCCGTTGCCTGGTCTCCCTACGGGGTCTTGGAGGACAGGGGCCCTGAGCTGCCTCACTTGTTCTCGGCCTCCCGGGGCCCCTCCCCAGGACCCAGGACTGTCGGCAAACAATTCGGTGCAAAAAACATCCACACACCCACACACACACACAACAATCACAACAACAACAACAACAACAACAACAGCAACAACAACAACAACAGCAGCAGCAACAGCAACAGCAACAGCAACAATAACAGCAGCAACAACAACAACAACAACAATCATTGTAAGACTGCTCGCCCTTATCTGCTCGAGTGTCGAGTAACGCGAATTTCCCAAACCCTCGATACCCGCCCTGTTCGTCTTCGATCGAACCCCTTTTGGGGGGTATACCTTTCTTCCCTGCAGGCCGGGCCCCGGCAAGCGGCGGAGCGGCCGCGGACCGTCGGCCTGGCCAGCGGCAGCGCTGATCGGCGGGGCGGCCGCGGACCGTCGACCCGACCCCAAGAGGGACGGACAGGGGACCGACCACGACGACGACGACGACGACGTCGACGATGACGACGACGACGACGACGTCGACGACGACGGCAACGACGGCGACGGCGACGACGACGACGAGCGAAAGCAAGAGCGAGAGAGAACGACAGCAGAGCCACGAAGGACCCAAAGTATGCCACGAAGGGCGACAGCGGGGACACGAAGGGAATGCGTATGGGGCCACGAAGAGCGCGAACGAGCGTGGGCCACGAAGGGCAGATAATGCGGGGCCACAGAAGGCAACGATGGGGCCACTGAGGGTAGCACCTGGGCCACGTAGGACAATGAGGGGGCCACAAACGGCGACAGCGGGGCCACGAAGGGCATGCACATGGGGCCACAACGGGCGCGAACGAGCGGGGGCCACGAAGGGCATACGTATGTTGGGCCGCGGAGGGTAAGGACGGGGCCACTGAGGGCAGCAACGGGGACACGAAGGGCAGCGAGGGGGCCACGAAGGGCGACAGCGGGGCCACGAAGGGCATGCATATGGGGCCACCACGGGCGCGAACGAGCGGGGGCCACGAAGGGCGTACATATATGGGGCCACGAAACAAAGCGAGGGGGCCACGAAGGGCTGCAACGGGGCCACGAAGGGCAGCGAGGGGGCCACGAAGGGTTGCAACGGGGCCACGAAGGGCTGCAACGGGGCCACGAAAGGCAGCGAGGGGGCCACGAAGGAATGCAACGGGGCCACTAAACAAAGCGAAGGGGCTGCAACGGGGCCGCGAGGGGCAACGAGGAGGCCACGAGGGGCTGCAACGGGGCCACGAAACAAAGCGAGGGGGGCACGAAGGGCTGCAACGGGGCCACGAAACAAGCGAGGGGGCCACGAAGGGCTGCAACGGGGCCACGAAAGGCAGCGAGATCCCGATTCCTAAGTAATCTGTGAAGGGGTCCTAAGCGTGAGCGCGACTCCTGGGTGCCTGGGTGTCGGGAGCGCGGCGCTGGAGTAACTTTCAAGAAATTCCAACGCAAGGGCGCTATTCATCAGTAAATTTCAAGAACGTCTCCAGCGAGAGCGCGACTCCAGAGCGCAGGAGGAGCGATTCCTGAATAAGTCGTGAGGAAGTCCCAAGCGAGAGCGCGATTCTTGAAATAAAATGCAAGGAAGTCTCGGGCGGGAGCAGGGGTCCTGGCTAAATTGTGAGGAAGTCTCAGGCGGGAGCCGTTGTTGTTGTAACCCGGGAGCCAGGGGGCCAGTTTGAGCAGGAAGACTTTCCTTGACAAAAAACAAAGTGCGAGCCCTGGGGGGGCACGTCAATTGAAAAAAATCAACGCGCACCGGTGAGGGGGGATCAACAATAATTATTTTTCAAGAATGAAAGTTCAACAACAACAACAACAACAACAATAATTTTAAGACTGCTCGCCCTTACATGCTCGAGTGTCCAATAGCTCGTATTTCCCAAACCTTCGATACCCGCCCTCTTCGTTTTCGATCGAACCCCTTTTGGGGGGTATACTTTTCTTCCCTGCAGGCCGGGCCCCGGCACGCGGCGGGGCGGCCGCGGACCGTCGGCCTGGCCAGCGGCAGCGCTGATCGGCGGGGCGGCCGCGGACCGTCGACCCGACCCCAAGAGGGACGGGGGGACGACGACGACGACGACGACGACGACGACGACGACGACGACGACGACGTCGAAGACGACGGCGACGACGACGACGACGACGACGAGCGAAAGCGAGAGCGAGAGAGAACGACAGCAGGGCCACGAAGGGCACGAAGTAGGCCACGAAGGGCGACAGCGGGGACACGAAGGGAATGCGTATGGGGCCACGAAGAGCGCGAACGAGCGTGGGCCACGAAGTGCAGATAATGCGGGGCCACAGAAGGCAACTATGGGGCCAGTGAGGTAGCAACTGGGCCACGTAAGACAGTGAGGGGGACACAAATGGCGACAGCGGGGCCATGAAGGGCATGCACATGGGGCCACAACGGGCGCGACTTCTGGGTGCCTGGGTGTCGGGAGCGCGGCGCTTGGGCAAATTGCAGGAAATCCCAACGCAAGGCCATTCTTCAGTAAGTTGCAAGCAAGTCTCCAGCGAGAGCGCGACTCCAGAGCGCAGGAGGAGCGATTCCTGAATAATTTGTACGGAAGTCCCAAGCGAGAGCGCGATTCCTGAAACAAATGCGAGGAAGTCTCGGGCGGGAGCGGGGGTTCTGGCTAAATTGTAAGAAAGTCTCGAGCGGGAGCCGTTGTTGTTGTAACCCGGGGGCCAGGGGGCCAGTTTGAGCAGGAAGATTTTCCCTGACAAAAAAAAATGCGAGCGTCGAGGGGCACACTTTGATTGAGAGAAAACAGTATGCACCAGTGAGGGGATCAACAATAATGATTTTCCAGAAATGAGAATTCAACAACAACAACAACAACAACAACAATCATTTTACCCGAACGCTCAGTGTTCTCCCCAGTGCCAGGGTTTTCTTGCGACACCAGCCAATACCCCCACTTCGTGGGGGGGCCGTTCAAGCTCTACCAAATATCCAAACGACTCTTCGAGACCACCCACACCCAGCTTCCCGCCCTATGACGTTGGGACACTTCACTTCGTGGCGTGCGGACGACCCTGGCTACTACACTGGCGTGGGGTACACACCCACAGAGGTTGATCACATCTGTTACATATGATGTGGTACACGGTACACGTGAGATGGTACGCAGTGCCAAGATAGTTGGTCACATTTTTGGGGCAAATTCGTGGGGATGCGATTACAGAAGTACATGTGTTACACTGATGTTATACAGTCCCAAGGATGACGCATGCATTGCTCATAGACTCATGGCGCTATGATCCTAACTCTCAGTGCCCAACGCGCGCGTGCACAGCCAGACGGAGGGAGAGAAACACATGTATACAAGGTTCGTGACATACGCACGGTCCACCATGTTGTAAACGATCGCATGCACGGTAAGTTCTGAAATTATACGTATGTACAAGCAGACATGCGAGGGAGAAAGGGAGATGGCCATCGACAGTTCCAATACGGCTCCAAGGCGGAAGAGGGGGAGGAGGAGCAGGACAAGGAGGAAAGGAGAGAAGCGAGAAAGGAAGAACGCAGACGGCGCGGCTCTGGACACAAAGGGGTGCCATACTTTCTCCTGCTTTCGCAAACAGGTCCAGTCACACGTAGGGGTATACTCAACCGAATGGTCTTCGCATCCAGAAGCATACTAAAGGCGCGACGCATCGTCGTCTGCGATGGCGCGGAGCGGGCGCGTGGGTGCCCGGCTGCCTGGCTGATACACGTGCGGGCCTGGCTGATACCCGTGCGGTCCCAGATGCCCAATGAGATTGCCGATACGCCTGCTGGCGGGAAGGCCGGTGCTTGCATACGGCAGTGCTACCGCGAGCACGTTGTGGACCTGCGGTGGCAAGGCCTGGTAATCGAGCATGTTCGGAAGCTCGTCGCTCTGACCATACGACCGCCATACGGGCAACCACCACCACTGGTCTTGACGCGGATACGTGATCTCTGTGCCGACCTCAGGGGATACGTTCCAAAGGGCCATTTTCTGCGGGTCCGTACCCATGAAGGCCGCGTGGTACGCAATGAATACGTCCAAGGTGGCCAGGGCCCTGTAGGAGAGGCCGGATACGATCTCCG